TGGATTTTCCCCTCTCTGGCTAGCGGCAGATGCAGGCAGGTAAATGAGCCTCGGTGAAGTTAATCTTTTCTGGACTGAGGACTAAGTTTTTGTCCCAACCTCACACCAAGCCCGCACAGAACTGGGTCGGCTCTTTTTGTCCGTTTATCTATTTCCTTTTTGTTTTTCATTTTTCTCACTCCATTCCTCCAAAGAGAGGCAGCCCGTTGGATGCCTTCTATGCCTTTTTGAATGTGCTCCGCCTTCATTAGGTTTACATTGATCGCTTTACCCGTTCACAGCCATTTTAGCTTTCTGAAAGCCGTTTTGTTTCTTCGTTCCATTTTAGACTCCCCTATCTCTTCAACCGATTTTTGATTTCGGGAAATTTAGAGACTAATTATTCTCAAACATGAGCCTCCCTCCTTTCGGCTGTTTCCCCATTCGGACATTCCTTTTAAGGCTTCTGATAAGAAGGTGACGTCTATTACGACAATAAGCATGCAGGTTCTCATTCTCTTTGACGGTGCCGGAAAAGAGCGATGCTCTCCAGCAAAGTAGTTTTTATCTATTGCAACAGTACAGCAGTGCAGTTTTTTCACTTGCAAAAAGTGCAAAAATGATTGATTGAGTCGATGCCACGAAATGTCAATATAATTGTGCAGGTGACGGTGTTCAGAGGGTACTACAACTGTTAGCGAGGGTATTTTCTAAAATAGGAAATGTAGGTCTGCTTTTGAAACATCTTTGTAACTGTCTTTGTGTCAGTGGGTAAGCGGTCTATCTCTCCATGCGTTTGTCTGTCTTTGAGAGTGATCCCTGAATAAGCTTGGGAGTTCGGTACCTGGGTTGTGTTCCAAAAATTAAATGGCACTGACCCGTAAATATAATAGTAGAAACAAATTAGCGATATAAGGGTACCTTCTGCAGCAGACGGGAGTCAAGCCCAGAACAGTTATACCTTGGCTGAAAATTGCTGCCAAACGAATTGGCCAGAAACATAGGTAAACGTTCCAAGGGTAACGGTCTGCTTAGGGTATGGTGATGGGTGAGAGGAGCACAGAATGAGGTGAATGAGCAAAGTAGGCGGGACATACTCTTAGAGTTAGAGTAGAATTCTTGCAGAGTTATTAACAGAATGCCTTGCAAAATGCCTTATGCGTTTCCAAAAAAAGTGGGCATGAGCTAGGTCCAACGTTTTGAACGTGCTCCGCATGCCCGAAATTTCGGATTTCTCAGGTTGTTAGAAATTGCTCACAGAAAGGCAAGAGGGCGATGAGGGCAAAGAAATTTCCATAACGTCCCGTTGCCATCAATCACGCCTACGAATGGGCATATCACACGGTTTTTTGATGCTGCGTAGTGGTTTGCGCTCCATACCCGGTCCCCCGATTCCCAACGCCCAACGTAAACATTCGCCCCTCTGAAATTTGCATGAAACCGACATAATGGTCTCGGGAATTCAGTTTAAACGCTATAATGTCTCCACACGTTCGTTTAAGAAGTAAAGAGCTATGGAAAGAAGTTCGACTTTTAAACTCTTCTAATGTTTTTTCTCGACAGGTTAGGCCTTCAAAGATTGTGTGTTTATCACAGAAAATCATAGTTCTGTTTGCGGAAGTGCTTGGAGAGTCTGAAAACTTCGAGCGTATGTAGCTTGAGAGATGGCTGGGAAATCTTTGCCTGTGGCAGGTGTCAACATCGCAGCGGATTTAGCGGAATTGGTGCATCTAGTTGATATTTGGTTACCGTGATATATGAGAAAGCCAAAAAAGTCGGCATCACGCAAATTCGGAATGTGAGGGAAATGTTCACGTTGGGATTAAAGCACCACAGATGGACGGAGTCTATAAACGAGTTTGATCGACTGATTGATTGATTGGTGGCGCGGAGGCTTGGAATGAATAGCTGTTCAATATGGAGGAAAAGAGTTGGTACTGGACGGCGCCGAAGAATATTCTGTGGTCCGATCAAGCTACGTCGATTGAATGTATTATCAATTTCCGACCTGTAAACATGGTATGAAACATAACTTCGACTCCCTCCTGGATTTGGAGAAGCACTCGATTAATTGGTCGAAGCTAATCGATATATTGATCGAAATCACTTACTCTTCGGAACTAGTGTACAAAGTGATTTGAGTAGAAGCAGTGAAGGGCTGTCATCTTGGTCGATTCGTAGCCTCTATTCACTATGTCTTTTCCGCGTTCCCGTCGTACCGGCCCAGTAACTACCCCTACATGTGAAACTTCTCAAATTGTCTGAAATCCCAAAGTTCAGATAAAGTTCTCTAAGGATATAGAACCGAACTCAAACTTCAACGCCGTCAACGCGATTCATGATAACGAGTCCAAGCCTACATCAAATGACGCTCCGGGGAACGATGATCACGCCTTTTAAAGCCATCCAAACTAACCAGCCCGTCGAAAAACCACAGAGTCAATGCCGCTTCCTCAGACGTCGTCTACCAGCGCCACCCAGAAAATGTTCGTGGGTCTTAAGTACAATTTCAAAACACTGTGGGTTTATCCAGTTTACTTTTCAAGTTTCCTATGAAAAGCGAACGGGGTAATATTCATTATACCGGATAATGCTTTCACTTCTTCTAAATCTCTTCCTAGCCAATGTCTTCTTCTTCTATCTCATCCTCTTCATTCCTTTCACTTCTTCCCTACCTTATACCGATCGCCTTTATTTCACTAATGTACGCAACGTCTCTTTCCTTCGCTCATTTTTTCTCAGTCGTCTCCTACATGCTACCGAAAAGGAAGGGCGTAACGTGGGAGTTGAATATATTCGCGTGCGTCATGAATTCAACTTGGTCAAAGAACACATGGAGACTCTGCCGATTGTTAGAGTGGTCTGCGAATATCGGGGTCTCTATATCGATCTTCTAAATTCCATTGAAAATCGTTCAATCATTTGTTCCCGAATTAGGCAAATTTCAGGTCCTCTTAGAAATAAAGGAGCCTTTTTAATCTTCGCACCGATTTTAAGCTTACATATTGACTCTTCTTATCCTTTATTAAAGCTTTAAATGTGAAGGGGTATAGGGGCCAGTCAATTTTAACACCGAATCATATAAGAACCCTTCGTCAGCTGGGCGACTGGACCGGTAATGCATGATTAATGAAAATAATAATAATAATTAAGTGTATGGTGAACTCTCAGTACGAAAACTCGTCAATAAGCTCAGGACGTTCGTTTTGACGCTTCATTCGGTTTATAGGCTCGAGCCGCAGTTCATGTGGAAAATGTCCCAAATTCAACATCAAAAGCCATTACTTAAGGGAAAGCTTGGGTTTCCTGATATTTTACCAACTCGACTTGTAGATCATTCAAAACGTCGTAAAGTTTGTCCGAGCAAAATGAATATTTCAGCCATATTCCATCGTCTTCGGACGATTGGGAAGCTGTGTGTTCTTCGCATGGCGAAGAACGAATAAAGAATTTCGATTCCGAATTGGATAGGCATATGATGCAGACGATCACGGATGTCAAATACATGATCAAGAAGAGCAAATATACTGCACTTAGTAAGTTCTCATCGAAGTACTTTCATTTTACAACTCTTCTATGTAATATTATGCTGGATGAGGTGTAGTAGCAAGTGGTGCACTGTTTCACACGCACGGTCACGGGTTCAAATCCCGTATTGATACCCCCAGACCCAACCCTTCTGTCTCTTCAAAGGCGATTAAGTTGTACAGGGATCTACTGGGAAGATTAGGGCACCGAGTTATTTATCGGCTGACCACCGCAAGTGACTATATAGGCTCCATACGCACTCCAGCGCCATTACAATTCTGAATGGGCGTCGAATGCGGGACATCCTAAGCGCCGAAAGGCTTTATCCTCATCCTTTTATCTAAACAGCCCTCATAGGGTTTTTTCGATGGGATGCCCGAGCCATTCACTTGGGGACATGCCCGAGCCATTCACTTGGGGCAGTTCTAGTGAGCGCCATCTGACCCCTCTTTGCCCATAACGTGCCCATGACCCTGGTTGTCGTTTCCCTTCCATCGTACACGTTACTTCTGGGAATACGTGACTCCGTATAAGTAGTAATGGGGTAGTGCAGCCAACCTGAAGCAATTTTTTCGCAATTTTGTGGAGTTCCCACAATTCCCACTGCTGAATACTGTTTTTTTTACAGGTGAGGTGAACTTTCAACGAGGATGCTTGGATGCTCATAACGACCTGCGACAAAGGTAGGCATGGCTAGATCAATTTAAAAATTTCCATTCTGTTTCTTCGGAGGTACATCAATATCAATCGCTGAAAAGCAATGAGTAGGAAACACCACATCATGCCTCGCCGTAGACGAGCGACGATGAACTCTTTTGTGAATAGTCTAGACATTTTCTCCGGTAATGGCTCTGCAACCATTTAACCATTCTATTTGGGGATTCCTCAAGGGCCATTACTACTGTGCATTTGCCACGTCCCATACAAACGACCCTCTTTCAAAAGGCTACTCAAGGTACTAGCTGCTATATTAGCCTTTTTCAACTTCAGTCTGATGACATTGTTGTTGTTGATGGCCTAGTATTACTATGTATGTCTACTGTAGTATACTGGTGGAACGCTACCAATTCTGAAGGGCACACTCATGACGTTTCGTCCCACGAGAGAAGCCCGATGGGTTCATTATAGGAACAAGATGATTTCATTCGTTGTAGGTATGGAGTCGCCCCGTTAATTTGGTCAGCTGAATTGGCCGACATGGCGCACGCATGGGCAGTGAAGTTATCTGACAGGGGAAGGATTCTGTATCCAGAATTGCCAGGTGAGCCGTTCCGTTACGATTTTCAAGTAAAAGATAAAGAAGCAGAAGGGATGAGGCTGGAGGAAGGACTGCAAGCAGTCTGAGAACCCCTTACCAATTTTTTGAATTTCGGGCGAAAGGGCCAAGCATTGGCTGAAACCCGTTCTTGTTCTCTCCGTGCACCATGCTACTTTGTCGTCAAATCCCGAGAAAGTATTAGGTCACAATAAGTTTGAAAAAATGTCCTTCATTTTCTTTTTGCTCAGGAACTTTAAAATGGTTTGGAAAATTTGTGAGGAATCTTTAGGTTAAGGAAAAGAGAGTAGTGTAACTATTTTGTTATAAACATTATAGATTTTTTCAATTTTTCACGTTTTTGTAGGAATTGGAGAAAATATTTTGTTGTCGGATGCCAATGATCATTCCCATCTTCCAACTGGCGCGGAAGTCGTCACTCGTTGGGAAACGGAAGTTGATCAATTCGATTTCGATCGACCACGATGGAGTCCGAGTGAGTCTGCGTAACTATTCCGATGTCTTACTTACAGAAGGAGCGAACAAATCTTTTGTCGCTGACCAGTATCGTTACGAAATGCGCCACGCGTTTGACTTACCTTCAGAAAAGTGGCTTTTTGGCGCCTAGCCAAGCCAAAATTTAGTGCTTTTCTTCTACTATCAAAGAATTGACCAAATAGGGATAAAGGGCTAGTTCGGTCTAGAGCTGAAGGACGTGTCAAACCTTTGTTGAGCCCTGCTCTGGAAAGTCCCTATCTCGGTTCATCTTAGTTTTTGCAAGTAGTCCTCGCAATCCAGCAACCATATGGTCCTCAGGTATTGTGACGGTAAACAAAAGTATCAGGTGGGAACATATCAGGGCCTCTAGTATTCCCGCTCTCCGTTACCTGAGTCCAAGTCATCAACAGAAAGCCCATTTCTAAAAATAAACTTCAGAAAATGCTTGGAATGTGAGCACTCCCACCTCCTCTAATCTGAAGAAAGTTGGAACTCATTCCTCCTCTTCAAAAGCAACATTGACTGAAGAAAAGTTCAAAATTAGGTTGAGGGTTTCTGGGTGGATATCTCGGCCAAACTGGCTCTGTGTTAGTGCTATTTCTAGAACTTGCTTCGATCCCGGCGGCATTGCCAAATATGAATGCTCTGTCCTGGCTTTCCTCGTCAACTGAGAGACCCACATAAAGCCCCTACAAAATAACAAACAACAAACAAAGGCTGAAGAGCTTTCCATGAGTTGCTCTTTGAGTCACCTCGTAGGTCCTGGAGCGCTTCCTTCCACCAACCACCTAGTGAAATAGTGCAGTGCACTTACTGAAGTTCCAGACCCTTGACATGAATCCGTTAGCATCAACAGCCTACAAAGGGTAAAAAATAAAGGAGTCATTTATCTCTTCGATTCATCTCGAGGTTTTTAGCAATAACTGCGAATACTTCAGAATACTAAAGCGATGGACCTAGGAGCTCTCCCACTAAGCGAATGGTAAAATAATTGAAACGATCTGTAGTGTAAGGAGGCTAACGCAGCCGTTCTCACAACCGACGTATTATCGGCTATTCATTGGATCTAATTGTATAGGCCATGTACACCGTCAGAACATCATCACGATTCCGAATCAGAGTGGAATTCAGAGGGATCGAAGCGGAATCGATCAACGTCAAATGACTTTATCCTTCATCACTTTCTGCTTGTCTGGATTTAGTTGCTGTGTCTAGACATGCGTGGAATTACCTAAATCTTCTTGTTTTGTTTTTTCAGAATGTCAACGCTTTTCGCAGATGGTCTGGAGGGATACTACTGAACTCGGTGCTGCAAGAGCATGGAATACGGAAAAGAATTGTGTTGCAGTAGTGTGCTTCTATCGACCAAGTGGGAACTCAAATGCTCCCGGTTAGTATTTACCATCGTTGTGGATGAGTCACAGGTACTGAACTGTCCCATTCCTTTTTGGGATCTAGGTCTTCAGTAGATGTTAGGTATATCCTGTAGCCCTGTACTGTTTAGTATATTGCAGTATTAATCTTTTGAGATTGCTTTCCAACCGGGTAAACAATGGAAGGGGAATGTTCCTCCTGTGTATATCCTCCCAATGACCCACCTCCAACATTGAAGATAAAGATTCTCTGTCCCTTAATTTCCCTGTATGCCCGCTCTGGACCTCTCTTGATCCCCCTTTCCTCACTTTTGCAGTTTGCTTCTGAATCCCACTCCCTGAGACCAGTAAATCAAGCTTTTCAGGTGAATTCGCCTCCAATGTGCCATCACGAGACTGCTCAATGTCGCCGGCTCGTAGTCTAGCCGGTCAAGTCAAGCGTTCTGTTACAATAACGGCTCCACCCGATCATAAACGGGACACTTAACCGGACAATTATTTCATCAGTTCTCCAAACACCCATGACGACAGCTATGTAGTCTTCTGACTGACGACTTTCTCTGACCATAAACGATCTCTTCTTCATTCCTCTATCTTGTTCCTTCATTCTCATCATCTAATCTATGCGCTTTTCCGCGAACAGATGGGATTTTACTCGGCTAGGAACGATTACTTCATTATGTGGAAGTTCAAGTGATTTCTTCTTCCTTCTTGGTGTCACAACCCGCGTGCTGCCACGTATCTGCCCGCCTCACTTATACGTCCTTTCTGAAAGTGTCAATTCCTCTTCTTATCCGACCAGAGTATGTTTTCGTATTATTTAAAATCTTTTTTTGCTATGAAATTCGATGTGATCGATTTTGTCACGAATAGGTACAGTTTCATTCTGACTTTCTAGGGCTTACTCGTTTTTTTTGTTTATTGTATCGACTGAATTTCGATAGCTTTGCACGCGCTTTCTGCTTTCGCTGCCTGTATCATTAAAGTCTATGAAACGACCATGCGTATGTTTAACTAGTCAACGACATTTCTTGTTCTTATGGATAAAAGGTTATCTACACTGATCAGTGAATTGTGTTCTTGCATAAAGTTATAGTCGTAACAGTTTCTTGAATCTTCGCCCTTTCCTTCGGCAGGGACGCCCACAAAAGAACGAGTTGAGTGTGCGGTGCGTGTAGTGTGGAGCGATGTCACGGAAAAGATCGACAGAAAGGGGATTTAAGTTGAAAAACATGGCTCCTACAATTATACGGCTGTAGGTTCGGATCGAACGCCTCTGTGTGATGCAACTCGGCTAGGCAACTACCCATCCACTCATCCAATGTCTTTGCCCGAAATCTTTTCCCTATGCGTCATAAAGTATGAGTGATATGTTTCCCGTGAGGTTTCACATCCGTTGCATCTTACCCTACCAGGTCGTTCTAGGAGCCGGATCACTGCACTGAATTTTCGTTGCTCTTCGTAACGGCGGAAAGGGTGAGACCGGGGCTTAGAAGCTGCAAGAGACCGGGAACAATTCCAAACCCTCCTAGCCGTGCTATCATTGTAGAATGGTGAGAAGAGCTATATAATGGAATCTATTTCTGGGATAAAATGCGGTACTGTGCTGTTTTTTGCTATTCGATAGCTATTCGACATCAACGTTTTCATTAATGAGCCTTTCAGTGATCATACACCATGACAAAGCCATTCGTGCCTTTGATAGGCTTTTCATAAAGCTTACTGAATGACTGATAATGAACATATAGAAGGAGACATAAAGGGAAGTGCTCTAGGCACGCGTCAATAATTAAAGGTAAAGTCCACGATAATCTCCAGATACCTAGGTGATATGAATAGTCATGGTGCAGAAATGTGCAAAGGTCGGAAAAACGCGAAACTGGGTGGACTATGGGAAAAAAAACTTGAAAAATTGTAGAAAAGGGGAGTGCAGTAGTTTATGGTGACAGAAGTGGCATGGAAGGAGCATCAAGCCTATGTCAATTGCCTGCTATCGCGAAGAGCTCCCTACAGTAAGCCTAGCTTTTTACAGTAAGCCAGAAATGTTTCTGCAGTACAATAAGAATGCCAAAATTGGTTTCCAAAGCCGCCAGTTATGGTAAGTACAGATTTTCTAGATAAAGAGTCTCACGCAGCCTACAGCGTTTTATAATTTGTTCCCCTAATTCTGCCTGTCTCCGCCTTCTCTAAGAAATGGTTTTCAGAGCGCTTGCCCAGGTTGATTTTTGTATGAAGTTGTCGTATGTGTGTTATGTTGCCTAGGAATCGGTATCATCACTATTTTTATTCAAGCAATTCGAACTTCTCCTGGACCGATCCCAATTAAAAAGCTACAATTTCGGCAGTCGGCGGACGGATGCAACGAGAAATGCAGTTGGACTCATCCAATTATTGGGACATTGAAGACACAGCTCACGATAAGAATGGTTTCTAAGATTCTCCCACAGGATGAACTTGAGGCCCCGCGTACACTATATCTGGCATTATTAGGTCGGAAAAAGGCCTAGGGAAGGAGTTATAAAGGCTCAAAGATTGGCCCGTGTGTATCCCCGGACCAATTTCTCCGGCATTGTAGAGGCTGCAAGATCACAGGGGAACCAATGTAGGAAGCTCGAACAACTCGTCATTACACATAGCGATAGTGAAAGACAGTTCCGTACATTTCTGGCTTGATGTAGTCAGCTCATTGTGCAATTCCAATAACTAAAATCCCGTCCGAATACCCCTTCATGTTGTTTCCGTCAATCTCCTCCAACCTCTATTTTCCCTACTTCCCCATATTTTTCTCGAAATCGGCGAATTTTCTCGCTTCTTCACAACCGATGCTCTATTCCCAACCTATACTTCCTCTTTTCGAATAAAAACGAGTACCTCAAAATTATTGTGAACTGTGCCTTCCAGTCTAAATAGTCACCACTTCGCTCATCCGAGAGCGTTCGTGTACAATACGAGACATTTCACATTTATTTGAAGAAAAATCGTGGCACCAAGCAAAACAGTTCAAAATTCTATGCAAACAAAAATAAACAAAAATGTTCCAAAAATCTTTTAAATTAACTGATGATGATAAAACTTTTCATGAAAGTCAGAGCATCCAGGAAAACGGAAGAGGTCTCATAGAGAATTGATCCATACTGATCAGAATCATCGATCATGGATAACAAATGACAATGCACGGAAAGGCTCATCTACGGAAAATCGGGTAACCCGGAACATGGCAATATGCACAGAAAAACGATGCGATTATACAATTGACAACCGGCGTTTGCACAAATAAAAAATTGGGAAAAAAATTTAAAAAATCCTGAGAATGAATTTGACTTTTAACACAAATAGCATACAAGAAATGCATGATATTAGCATAGTCCATATTTGATGAACGTCAATTTCAAAGCTATTCTGTTCAGAAGCAAAGATAAAGGGTCCTGACGCGATTGCCATGCGTCGGTCGCTGCGGGAGATGCGGTTCAATGCTGGCGCGATAACAGCGGCGCCTAACGGTCCCACGGCAAATCCCACGGCAAGAGGCAGTAGTTCCGCGGCGGCTACCGTACCTTTCCACTAGGAATTCTAACCACGGCCCTTTCATAGCACCCGGAAGGGTGCGGCGACCACGACGCGATTTCCGGGGAGAACATACCACACCCTGGACCTTGTTCCGATTCTCCGATAGCTTACAGTGGGTGCAGAAATTGACGTCAACATTCGAGAAAACAGAGATAAACGACTTATGCATGGATCATCTCTATAATTTTTTTTTTCAAAATAAAAACCTAACTAATTTTACAACCATGCTCTTTC